TAATTAAGAACCCCCCCAATCGCCACAAAAAAACATTTCGGCTCAGAAAGGCTAAATCCGTAGAGAAATGCGGGGGCGGGGGGGGGTACACGTTACATACTCGAAGCTGAAACTGATAAAGTACGTCTCGAGTGAGGAAAAAGACGATATACTGGAGGAACTTGATTTGTGAAATCTCGTTAAAACAGTTGTAGATGTGGTTCCAAGAAGAATAGATTTAGTTTAGCTGTTAAATACATGTATGCATCATCATAGCATGAATATTACTTCTCAGACTTATTCTGTATCGTATGAAAAAGCAACGCAATTTTGAGAATGCGGAAATGGTGTCTCATAGAACCTAAAATGATTTAAATCCAACATTTCTGATCGAAATCACATTGGAATCTCCCCCCGGCATCACAGAGAGGAAATACGGTGACACTGACCCCTACTTCTATTTTTCAAGGTGATTTTTCCAATTTATTTAATTCCGAGTAGAAATGTCTGGAAAAACTCCTGTCTTCAATGTACTTTATAATCTTCGGAATTCTGCTAGATTTCACTCACAAAATGCATGAAATCGCAATTCAGGGTCCCTAGATTTCATAATTTTCCGGGACCCCTGACCCTCCTAGACGGTCCCACGCCTTCGGTGTGAGGTTCGCCCCCGCAAAATTAAGGTTTGGCTACGCCACTGGTTATAGCTGTACGATTTTAGCTACAAAGAGTTGAAGTTATTGTTTAAGTAAAATATAGCTGAAGTTAATAAATTAAAGTTTTACAAAATCTCTCTTCAGACTCGCGCCAGTCGCGCGTTCGCCAAACCTCGACGGCTCATATGCCTTTTTTTTCTGTTTTGCCCCCCCCCCCAGTGAAAATTCCCTAAAAAAAGCACTGGGGTGTAAATAACCGGGGGGATTTAGTACCCTCGCACGCCGCTTCGCGCCGTCGGCTCGGGGATTATTGTAATTCATACGAGTTTTAATTAAACTAGGTAAAATTCGTCAACTTTTATATAGCCTGCGTAGCAGGCGGTAGAAGCTAGAAATACCGCCTGCCCAATTCGTATTACGTTTCTTGATTTTCGAAAGGCATTTGACTTGATCAATCATAATGTGCTGCTAGAAAATTTTATGCAAATCGGCGTTCGTCCAGCTGTGGTTGGTTGGTTTGCATCATATCTTTATAACAGATCACAAGTAACGTCTTTCCATGGAGAACAGTCGGATTGTAAAAGAATCAAGGGAGGCGTTCCACAAGGGAGTAAGTTGGGTCCTATTGCGTTTATAATAAAAATAAACCAATTACCAACGTCTATTATACCCAATAACCAAGATCAAATATGTAATGCCGTAGAAGACCAGGACGTAGCGATGTTTATGGATGACACAACATTATCGGAAGTAATCAATGTCAGTGACCATTTAGGTGGCATCCCAATCGGTAATACTCAAATGAACGTAGACAAGGTGGTACAGTTTGCAAAGGACGAAGGAATGGAACTAAACTATAAAAAGTGTATGGAGATGATTATTGACTTTAGGAAAAATATAACCTCTATACCCCCAATTTATGTTGGTGGTCATAATGTTTCTCGAACGAAGTCATATAAGTTACTGGGAATATGGTTAGATTGCGATCTTAAATGGAAAACTAATACGGAATATATTACAAAGAAAGCGGCCAAGCGTCTGTATTTATTAAAGATCTTGAAGAGTTATGGTGCCCCCATGGATGATTTGTTAGCATTTTACTGTTCGGTAATTCGTCCTGTTTTAGAATATGGTGCGGAGATTTGGAACGGAGGTCTAACCCAAGAGCAGAAAAAGAGCATTGAACGAATTCAAAAACGAGTACTTAGAATAATTTACCCAAACCTAGACTACGACCAAGCAATAACTGAGACAAAATTACAAACTTTAGAAGAACGTAGGGACGAATTATGTGTATCTCTAATTAAAAAAATGCTGGAACCAAACCATAAACTTCATAGCCTCTTACCAAAGAAACTAAAATACATTAGGCAAAAAGAAACAAGAACTAACAGTCAGAAATTATATAATTTCTCCTCTAAAACCGAACGTTTTAAACACAGTCCTTTAGTTTACTGTATATACTTATATAATTCTAGATTAGTTGATTAGGATCATCATTTTTAAAATTTTATCAGTTAATGTACAAATAGGTATGCATTAGTAGTTTTTATACATATTGTAAATAGATATAGATTAGTCAAACTTTAATTTTAATGAATGACATGTAAATATATAATATATATATACTTTTTTATACCCAAATTTGTAAACACATTGTAAATTAGCGTAACTACTACTAAATGTGTTAATAAACCATTACCATTACCATTACCATTCTGAGTTCCGCCCACCGCATGGTCCCGCCCATCTTACAGTAATGTATTTATTTTAATTATTTGTCAAACTCACGTATTTACACCAGTGCAAATATACGACTTTGAAGTTTCATATCTTCGGTTCATTCAATGCTATGAAGACAAAAATACCACGTTCGATTCAGTGTAACAATATGCCCTCATTCATAGCGATAGTTTTAGTCGATGTCAACATTATAGCGATTTATGAGCTTTGAAAGTCAAGCGAGTTCGTGTATTATCAAATTACGCAATTGTCTGAACAAAAATATAGACTAGCCATACCTTTCGTAGCCTGCATGGCAGGCGGTACGTAGGAAATACCGCCTGCCGCAAAACTGGGTGTAAATGAACTACCGCCCCTGAAGCATCAACGCTATTTATAGATGATTAATTAAGTAAATATTCAAAATTAGCCACTCCCAAGCTGCTCCCAAGTCCCAACTGCCCAACATAAAATAAATTCCTTTATTCTCATCATCGCCCGACTGAATTTTAAAATCCTCGTGAAAACGTTTTATTTTTCGTTATACAATATAAATGTACCGCCCGACAAAATAATTCAAGACAGTTAATTTTTTCATATTTTATATAGAGTTTTTATTGCCATTTTAAACTTCCAATTTGAAACAAACAGAATTTTGAGTGAAATTTCATTGTATTTTAAAGAAACTCAGTCATTCTGTCATTGTTCGTGGAGATACGAACTATTGATATATAAATTATATAAATATAAAATATAAAAAATAAATCTCCCACTGTCTTCGACATTTCAAAGTGTAGACTGTGTCTAGTGATGAGAATTAAGGAATTTATTTTATGTGTTAATATAAACCAAGCCCGTTTAGCCGTTTAGCTGCCTTAAAACGGTGGTTTAATAAGCTCAAAATACAAAGCATGCAAGTCTATACTATTAAGATTCATCATCAGTCAACAACCAAACTAAAAGTATTGAACCTTATAGAACGATAGTTTTTATTTGTTTACAACTATACATATTCAACGGGTATATAAGAGTTTAACTGTTATTTGATAATTACTGCATCAACCGGCCCCTTGTTTATACTTTGGAGGTTCGTATATAATATCTATCACGTATCTTTGGTTCAGAACATGACTGATAGGCCTATATGGAAATCCCACTGTTCGATTCAGTGAAGAAATATCTCCTAATTTCTATCGATAGTTTTAGTAAAATGTCAACATTATTGCGATTTATGGCCTTTGAAAGTCAAGCGAGATAGTATATTATCAAATTAATACGCATGTAATTGTCTGAACGAAAATATAGACTAGCCCATACCTTTCGCCGATCATAACTTCGGCCCCTTCGGACGTATCTTCTTTGTTAAATATTCTTGTTCGAATCTCTATCAATAACACTATTTAGAGTGTTATTTTTCAGCTTGTATCTTTTAATTTGCTTCTTTTATTATGTTA